AGACCAGCTGTTTAGAGCTGGTCATCAGTTGTGAAATGTAAGAGTGGGAGTAGGTTTGTAGGGATGGGATCCTAACTGCTTTTGGTGACACCAGGTCTCTCTCCTTGCCACATGATTTCAGCGTCCTACCTTCCAGTTGGAACCCCTCTCTGCCCTTTAGCCTGATTTTCTTGTGCATAACATGGCAAATTACTTCATGACTAATCTGCCTTACAGCCTGAAATCATTATTATTTTTTAACTTTGGAGGGTTTTCAGATCCCCTCCTTTGATTTTCAGATGTGGTGTTAATGGCTTAATTTCTATGCGTGATTTCTGAGGAGATTCCAACCACCTGTTTTTATTGAATGTTTAGTTTATTTTATTTTTTATAATTGCTTGAGAGTAGAAAGGAATTGTAGGAACAGATTCCATCTGTGAAATTCAATGTAGAGTTTTGGCTAAAGGATGAGGAATGGAATAGATGACATAAAAAGTGACACTCCTTCTCAGAGTTGACTTCTTGATGATAGACTTGTTTCTAGTTTGAGGTTTCAGAAACCCTTTTATTAAAGAAACTCTCAGTGGGAAATAAAGGAGCAGATGAATTCCAAATTCTCACTGTGAGACCCTGTGGACTTTCTGGCTCCCAGGCCTGAGTGACACTCACCCATGAAGGGACTTTTCTTGCTTTACCCTCTCTGAACTTAGGTCTAGAGCTTCATAGTCTGTGATACATCGAAGTACAAGCAGGTGGGCTGTGTGTGAACACCTGAACTCTTTAGCTTCCTCATACCTGTGACGTGGCTCCTTAGTGTGAGATCACGCTTCACGTCACTTCCCTGTCAGTTAAGAGAGGGTATGACTGTGAGTGCACACGTTTCCATCAGGCAGTGCACACTGTATGTGCAGACCATGTGTGGTCTGTGTTTTCTACCAAGTGGGGCCTATCTCACCTTCCAACTTTTCTGACCCCACTCTCTCTCTCTGCTACTTGTTGCCACTCTGGCTCACAGTGGTGCTGAGCCAACTCTCTCCCATCTTTCTACAAGTTGATCTCTAAATATTGGTAATCATGAGAAAAATTTTTTTTCCCACTCCTTTTTTTTATACCATCAGTCTTGCTTTACTGGTTATATCTGAAACTAGCAGTGGAGAAGTATTTTGGTATAAAATGAAAAATAAATATATAAAAGTCTACATGCCATTTTCAAAGACAATAGCCTCCTTTTGACCTTGTTTTACATAGGCGATTTGTTTCCTTATCTGGAAATGTGCCAGCCAGAACACAATTCCTTCCTTCCACTTTGGAGCTGTCCCTTTAGAGTGGAGAAGGCCCCCAGACACCACAGCAAGGCGATGGGGCTGAGTTATCTGTGTGCCCAGCTTTCTTGGCTGTCATGACTGCCAAGGGTGAGACAGGAAGGAATTGTTCCAGCTGCCACGGGTGGGCCCAGGGGCCTATCGGTGTGGCCATGTGTACTGCAGGGTGGAATAAAAGTTGGGAGGTCTTTTAAAATTTGATAAAGAAGTCAGGATTGCCAATATGACCAGCCTTATGTGGTCAGGAAAGTTACTCTGAAATTGGACCTGATTCTCTCAATAAATGACTTGCTCTGGAGTGTCCTCTCCCACCATCATCATCCTGAGTTAGCCGGGCAAAGCTGGCCTGATTCATAATTTACTTTGCATTCTGATTTGGTAACAACTCGCCAGACTGAATGTAGATGTGCGCTCTCCCCACAGAAAGCTGGCTGGTGGGCTGAGGATGGATCCCATTAAACTGGTGCCACATTTGCTTCAGGCAAAGCTGTCTCCGGGGTCTGGAGACCAAGGTTGGCATGTGGTGTTGTGTCAGGTGCTCCAGGAGTCCCAGAAGTATACAAGATGGTGTGTGGTTTCCTGGTTTTGTCATGTCTTAGACTGCTAGCTTGGTTTTCAAATAGGCAATTTGAATTGTCAAATAGGCAATTTGAATTGTCAAAAAGACAATGTTGGGAGCTGTGCTTGACTTCCAGTGGGGAACCTGCTGGGTGGGTTCATTTTCATCCTGCTCCTCCCAGGTGTGTAAAGAGCATAGGTATTTCAGCTCTTGTCTGCTCTTCCCTTGCTGGGTGGCCTCAGGGACTGTATGGTCACCACATTTTGGGATCCTGATACGGCATATGGGATATGGGATATGGGATCCTGACTTCTTCTGAAAAAGTTGGGGCTTCTTTTTTCCTGTTTGTTAATTAAACCAAAGGGCTTATGAAGGTAAAACAATTAAACTACAGTTAATGTTTATGTTAACATGTGAACTATATGTTTAATGAATTTCCTTTGCTTGGGAGATACTGGTTTTCATAAACCGGGGACTCTGAGAAATCCTTAGAGATCCGATTGCTATGAAACTAATTCCTGGGGCAGGAGCTTTTAATTAGTCATGGGTCATGATGGTGCCGATGGCAGCTACGTTTACTGAGCACTTACCTGATCCAGTGCATGCATTTCCATGTATTAATTCGTCTGACCTCATCACCAGCCTGTAGGTGGGCGCTCACACACTATTTTACACATGGAGATATGGAGGCCCACAACAGCAAGTCTCCTTTCCCAGGCCGGTAGGTAAGTGGCCAAGCCAGGACGTGACCTCAGCCAGGCCACCATTGCCTTGCTGCAGTTAATGTTTTCTGGATGGTCTTTGAAATCTCTGAATTTCAGGAAGCAGCAGGCTGCGTATTGGAACATGACCCCCACACAGCCTTCAGTGGAGGTCTTCTCAGCCTCAGGTTGGAGGTCTGAAACAGGCAGATTCCCTGAGACTCTGCTCTCCAGGGGCCTGTGAGGAGTGTGCAGAGCTGTTTCTACCCAACTGCCCTGATGGAGCTCTGGGCTCTAGCCCAGAGGGCTGAGACCCACTGTCCTTTCATGAGCACTGTCCTCACTGTCCTGGTCACCCTGGACAGTAGTAGCTGGGCCTCAGGTGATTCTGGGCCAAGAAGGGTGGTTCACCTTGGGACCTGCTTGGTGTAAGGATCTGGGACTGCAGTAGGAATAAAGTTCTTCCCAAGCTATCACCCTGCTGGGTTGAAACCACCTCCCCACCTATATATTATATGAAAGTTCTGAGCTGGAGTGGGGTGGGGTGGGGCTACCTGTTTTCTGGCAAGGCTGCACTGTCACTCTCCTGTCTCTCTGAAGTCACCCCTCCTGTCCCTGGGAAGTACTCCCATACCCTGCTGTCTTCAGAGGCTGGGCCCCATAAAGGCCCCCAGGTAGCACCCACAGGCCCACAGAATGTCCACTCTAAACTTTTTTTTGAGTACTTCTAGCTGCCAAAGAATCCTTGGGTCCTAGCATCTCTCCTGGGACTCAGCCTGGCCTGGAAGCCAGAACACCTGGCCTCAGCTTCCAGTTGGGGGCTAGGGATGGGGGCAGTAGTACCTAGGGAAAGAGTTTGGCGCTTTGGAAACCACTTTAATTGCTGGTTCATTTAAGTGTAGGCTTGGCACAGTGCAGAATGAGAGGGAAATGTAACCACTTAGCAGGCAGTAGCCAGGGACTTTTTATAAGTAGATTAAATAGAGGTCGGTGAGAAATAGTCATTTTTACAGATGTTTGTCCAAGAATATTAATTTTTTATGGTGTTCAAAATTTAGGTGTATTTGGAAAGGCAGGTGAAAAATTAAACTGAATACTAAACTAGTTGAGTTGACAGTTCAAATCAGAGCAGAACTCTTTTGTAGTTAAAAAGTTTAGCTTAGATCAGACAGCCCACCCTGAGCCTAAACTTCAGGGTCAGAGCAACTCAGTATGTAGGTGAATCTGTGTTAGGATTCAGTGGGTTCCTGGCTTCAGGGCTTCCATAGAATTGATGTTGTCTTGGGAAAGGAAGGAGAAATATTTTTTTAGTATGTGAACTGGGGACATAGGGCATTTAGTAGGTGGGTGAGGGTTTTACATAGTTACTCCCCATCTGAGGAGTAATTGAGGGTTTCAGCTTGGTTTACAGGAACTCTGCACTTGAGCTCCAGTCTTTTCCTTCCTGAGGAGGATTACCATGCTCGTAATATCAGAGTCCTGGAGGTGGCCTGTGGGTGGACCTTTTGTGTAAAAGACTCCGGCCTACTTATCAAGTGGCCTTATAGGGTAATTTCTTACAGAGTGACAGACACAGTGTTCTCACTAGGTCACCCTTGGCTGTCCTTTAACCCTAAGCTCTCCCCCCTGGACTTTGTTGCCTTGGGCATAGGGACATGAGTGTGACTGGGAATGGGGGAGGGCTGGAGGAATGAGATCAGGAGCAGTTGTGGAAAAAACAGATCTGTTTGCTAATAAGGACTGCACACTATGCCAAAACGTGTGTGTGGCCACCTGGTTTTGTCTGGCTGAGCAGCGGAAGATAACTAAGCAAGGTCATGCCAGGCGCCAGCCTCACAGCCCGAGTTTGTGAGAATGCTCCGCAGAGGACAGCCCCTTTAGGTACTGAAATCCCCTGTGTGTCTGCGAGCCGGGGGCCAGAAGTATGTTTGTGGGCCATCTCCAAGACCATCCTGGGGACGCCCCACCTAGCACATTCCATTTGTTCAGGGAGCATAAGGATTGTATGGTTTTCTTTTTCCTTTTTAAGACATTTTTTCTATAGTTTCACTAATGCTCAGGGATTGAAAATGATAATGGGTGTGATTTAAGTTCCCAAAACAGGTCTCTGAAGAGAATCAGGTGGGTACCGAGATGCTAGTGCCTCCTGGGTGCTGAGCTGAAGGATTCTCTCAGTTGGCTCTGGGGTCGTTGTGCACCCGTGAGAGTCATTGTGAGGTCTGGGACGTGCAGCTGCACGTGTCAGCACAGTGTGAGGAAACAAGTTCCACAGTGCTGAACAGTGAGCATAGTGCAGGGCCTGAAAAGATATTTGCTGGGTTCTGGGCCGAAGTCCACACAAGCGAGATCTGGGGTCTGTATCACACTAGGGCAGAATGGCCACAAGTCCCTTGAGGTCTCCCATTTCGTCACTAGTTTATTTGGTGTGGGTTCTTCCAGGAGGAGTCTGCTGACGGCGAGGGCCATGGACTTCATCACCTCTGTGGCCATCCTGCCCCTGCTCTTTGGCTGCCTGGGGGTCTTCAGCCTCGTCCAGCTGCTGCAGCGCATGTGCATGAAGGCCTACCTCCGGGATGCTGTGGTGGTGGTCACAGGCGCTACCTCCGGGCTGGGGCGAGGTGGGTCACATGGGCAGCCAGCCGCCTGGGAGCAGCCCTGCTGCACAGCGACAGGGCCGCTGCGTGAGGCAGGCTGGGTGGCTCAGGAATGGGAGAGCATCACTGCTCTTGGCCCATGGGAGGACGCAGGCTCCCGAGTCCATCAGTTTCCGCATCAGTGCTGGGAGGCGAAAGCCACTGAGGGCGACAGTAGCAGACGCGCCTCACGCCATCTGAGGCGCCTCACTCAGTGCCAACGGCTGGTTGCAGTAGGGGTTTTACATGAGGGCTCTCAATTTTCAAACATGGGCAACTAATCTGACCAGTGTTAAGCCTCTTTCCCCTGGATTCAGCCAGCATCCCTGGCTTATGGCTGTGGACCTTCTCCATGCCTTCCCCCTGGGGCTGTGCCTCCAGCTGTGCCCTGGGTGTGGCCTTGGCAGGGTTGTAAACGGAGTAAGTGATGCCTCAGGTGGACCAGGTTCACTAGTTCACTCCCACTGTCTGTCATTTGGTGAACACAGTGCACGTCTCAGCCCCAGTACTTATGTGCTGGACACAGGCCTAGAGTCAGTCAGCAGCCCCTGCACCATGAAATGAGCCTATAGCAGCCATCATCCCCTGCACACAGGTATAGTGAAAAGCACATGCAGGTGTGTCACCTGGAACCTCCTGCCCACTTTCCCAGCATGGGCACATGTGACGCCCCACAGCAGTGCATCCTCTGCACTCGAGCTCATTGCCATGCAGGACTTGCACAAGAACTTCTAATCAGCGCAAAGCCAAGATGCAAACCCACATCTCTTTGAGTCCAGAAGTCACAGTGTTGTCTCACCTGAGTGGAAGGTGGCCAGGGAAAAAGAGGGCATGGGTCAGCAGGGAGGGCACTGAGCCCCAGTGCTGAGAGAAGTGTGGTTGTGCAGGGGCTCTAAGCACTTGGGGGAACACAAAGGAACAGATAGGGCCTTGTGTGCAGGGTAAGGGGCTTGCAGTTGGCGGGGGAGCCTGGGAAGGCTTTAGGTAGATGGCTTCATTTGTATGTAACTGTGATGTTTAGGTGAGGTCCCCAGGGTGAACCCTGGGTCTGTCATTAGATACCCAGACCTGCTGGGGACAGCTGCCTTCAGGTCCTTTGCCATAGTCAGTCCTCCAGCCTTACTCAGCCACTATATATAGGGTAGTCAGCAGCCACCTCTCTGGACTGCAGAGAGCAGCATTTTTTCTAGAAGTCCTTGACGAATGTTTGAGAACTGACTGAGATGGAAAGGTGAGCTATGGGTGCTTTGATGTGTGGGTGTTTGAGAAGGACACTGGCCTCCTAATCTTTTTATATCATTTCCACTTCCTGACACCAAGACTGTAAAGGGAATAGGAAATAGAAAAGGAAAACAAAACCTGTACACACACACACACACACACACACACACACACACACACACTCACTCACTCACTCACTCACTCACTCACTCACTCACTCATTCACTCACTCTATTAGTCGTTCACTGAATTCCAAATCACTGCTTATATTCTGCCCCATTTAGGAGTCCATACATCTCTTTCCCCTCCAGCCAGACAAAATAGGAACAGATTATTTCCCAGCCACCTCAGTCTCCAGTACAGGCACCCTGCTGGTGACAGCAGGAGGTGCTGCTCCTTAACCTCTTTAAGAAGGAAGACCTGCCCGCTATTAGCCACCCTAAAGGTTTGTGTTCTTGGTGAGGCTTCAGGCAGGCAGCTTTCTGTATTTCTCTAGTTTTGTTTCCTATTTTGTATATTTAAGCTACATGACCTTGTCCTTGTAAAACAGTAGGAACACTGACTAAAGGAACAGAATGTTCTGGATGCCCACCTCGCCAGCCTAAGCCCTGAGGTTGTGAACAGCTATCTTGATTTACAAGCCAGGAGTGCCGGCAGTGCTGGAAAATTGTCTGGCAGCCCTCGACGAACAGTACCTTGGAACTGTTTTCCTTTTTCCCTTGATCCTCCACCTCCCTGTATCAGCTTTTTTAAGAAATGAAAATGGAATACTTCCAGTCTGTTTTCATTTCTGTTATTCCCTATATCAACTTTTAATTTCTTCTATTTCGGTTTTCATAGGAAGCAGAGCTTAAGCAGAATGTAGGTGACTAGTTCCCAGAAACTGTTCGGACGGCAGTACGCCTCTCCCCACCTTTGGCTCTGTGTGCCTGTGCCCTTTGGCGGCACCTTCAAGATGTTCACTGCCTCAGTCAGGTCAGGATGAAATAATGTGAGGAAGCCCGCAGGCTGGCAGAATCCTGATCACTGGGAGGGATTCAGTAAACCTGTCGAGCAGTTCCAAACTCAAGAATGCTGGTGTCTGGCTTCAGGTGCAGCCCACACCCTGCTAGGCCTTTGCTGCTCTGCTGAGGAGGTGCAGGAGGGTAGCCACCCTGGGATAGGCAGGGCAGGAGCTGCAGCGTGGTTGGGATGAGCCAGTGAACAGACCAACCACATCTTCAAAGCAGCTGATACCACACACCTGAAAATTGATTTAGTCTATTTAGCACCTCCTTCCAGAAAACCCCATCTGGGAAATGTAGGGAAGTGCCAGCCTCGAGATGGCAAGTGAAGGCTGTAAGAGTAGCTAAAGGAGGAGCTGTAGAGTGAAAACGGGGCTTTGCAACATGAGACATCGAGTCATCGGAGAAGTCTCTCTCTCCTTTCCTGTGGGATGATGGAATTTCTTCACTCCTCCTGTTTTGCACCATTTTAGCTTTTGACACTTTGTCGGGGAGACTGTCTGACTAGTACAGCCAGCCTGAACCTTGCTTCTCCCCTCCCAGCAAGGAGGTAACAGCCTTGATCCCTTGACTATCACTGAAGCCCCAGGGCAGGCCTGCCCCTCTGTGGGCCAGGGGCTACAGAGACACCACTTGACAGCCTGGGCCTTTAAGATTCTGTCTAGGACCCAGTGAGGGGCTCACTGGCTCCATGGCCAGCACGGGGCTGCAGGGGCTGCAGGGGCTGCATAGACCCACTTGTTGGCATTTGAGGGAGACTCAACTGTGGGCAAGGACAGACAGTGCCTCTTTATACTCTCCAACTGCCATTTCCACTAACAGTCAGTTTTTCGAACATTTAAAAAGGCAGCTTGGAAATACTAGAACAATTAGCAATTCTGTAATGCTTTTTTTCAACTTTTAATTTGTTGCACTGTAGCTACTGTAAGTCATTCAATCCCAGTGCTGTTTTTATCTGAATTTTACAGAAGAGGAAAGTGGAAGCAAAGAGGTTAAACTAACTCAAGATCACAAAACCAGTAAGTGTTGGAAGTTGGAGTTGAACACAGGAAGTTAGCTTGAGTCCATTCTCTTGAACACTGGGCTGTACTGCTTTACATAGCTGTACATTTTCTGGACACTGAACATTTAGTTAGGTCATGTTTGGGAGCAAGGCAAGCAAGACGTAAGAGGCCCCCACCTTCTGCCTCCTCCCCTTCCCTCGCAGCTTACCCTGTGTTCTGGTAGTTCCCCTCTCCAGGCTCCCTGTGTGGCCTCAGGAGAGTTCCTGTGACCATCCTGGGCTCATCATACTGGTGCTGCCCCATCGCAGCTGATCACAGTCCCTCCCTGGAGTTCTTGATGCCAGAGCTTGTCTAAGTCAAAGGCCCCTCTCCTGTCTGGCAGGAAATTGCGTGGATGTGAGAACAAGCTTCCTATAGCCCCATTCCCATCTGTGGAAAAGCCAGGCTGGGGGAATTAAGTAGAGAAAAGGACCTGCCAGCACTGAGAGAGCCCTGGGCAGCCCCAACTCCTGTCTGCCCACGTCTTGGCCACTCGGCTCTTCCTCTTAGCCTTGGAGCTGTCACACAGTCCTCCAGATGAAGCCTCATTTTGCCTTGCCCAGGGTGAGTTGGGACTCTTTTCTTGCCACCAAAAGAATATTGACTAATAGAGGGGCCCAAACAGTTGGGCCCTCACTCCCACCATGGTCTTAGTTGATGTCCTAATTAGTTGTCACCAGGAATGTTGTAGTGGGCTCAGTGGAACCTGTTCTCCTCCAGTCCCCTTCTCCAGTAGGAGAAAGAAGTCTTTTAAAATAAAGCCACTCTTAATGATACTTTGCTGTTGTAGGCAGTTAGCATGCTTCAACTCTTTAAAGCCCAGTTTGTCGTTTCCCATCCTAGCAAGGCTGTTAGACTCTCTTTCTGTCCCAGCTGCATCTGGCCCCTCAGATGCTGTGCAAATTGCTCCTTCTTCCTAGAGCACTTTCTGGAGAAACAGCCCCTTGGGCTTCAGGACTGGGGCAGGGCCTCCCCACCCCTTCTCAACAGAGCCCTGAGCCCCCTGTGCTTCCATAGAACAGTGTAAGTACTGTGTAGATATGCACCTATTGCATTGAATGATTAGGGAAACAGCCTGGGTCATGCTAGAACGCAGGCCTCAGCAGACCAGGCCTCATAATAGCTGGCACTACCTGATCATTGGGCAGGTCACCTGACCTCTCTGAGCTTCCTCAGCTGTGATAATGGGGATAATGCTCACATGCTTAAAGATGACTATGGAAAATTCTGAGCATAGTATTTAACAAATCTGTCCACTGGTTCCTGCCTTTTGCCTTGTGGATGTCATGCCACTGAATGTGAGCTCTCTAAGGGCAACTACAGAACTCTTTGTCACTGGGGCCCTAAGCCCTAGTTCTATGCCTGGTCCACAGCAGGGGGCTAATACATATATGCCCAGTGCATGAAGAAACCAGCTACATATTCTGAAATGTTGGGTAAGTTTGGATGGAACTGCATCAGGGAAGAAAAGCATTGTATTTCCTCAGCTGTCAAGATTTTTTCTTCTTCCCTTAGAATGTGCCAAAGTCTTCTATGCAGTTGGCGCTAAGCTGGTGCTCTGTGGCCGGAACAGAGAAGCCCTAGAAGAGCTCACTAAAGAACTCGCTGCTTCTCAGGCCACCAAGGTGAGACCAGGGGTGTGCTGTCCATGGGAGAGGTGCAGTCTTCTGCAGGCCTCTGAGGGCATAGCAGATCCTGGGCTGCTGGGTATGTGGGACATCTGCATGGTTGTACTGTGCCAGGGAAGCCATAATGTCTTCAGGTTCACCCATTTTGTAGTATGTATTAATTTTCATTCTTGTTTATGGTGTATTAATAGTCCATTGTACAAATATACCACATTTTGTTAATCCATTCACTAGGGTTGTTTCTACCTTTTTGGATATTGTCAATAATCCTAGGAGTGGAGTAGCTGGGTCATGGTAGTTTTATTTAACTCTTTGAGGAACTGCAAACTGTTTTCCGCAGCAGCTATACCATTTTACATTCCCAACAGCAGTGTTACAAGGGCTGCAATTTCTCCACATCCTTACCAACACTTGTTATGTTGTTTTGCTTTTTTTAAAAATTATATCCATTCCAGGAGGTGTGAGGATTTGATTTACATTTCCCTAATTGCAAATGATGTTGAATATCTTTTCATGTGTTTATTGACCATTTGTATATCTTATTTGGAGAAATGTATGTTTAAATCTTTTTCCCATTTTTAATCAGGTTATTTTTTGGTTGTTGTTTAGAAGTTCTCTATATAGTCTGGATAATAACTCCCATACATATAATTTGCAAATATTTTCTCCCCATTCACTAGATTGTCTTTTCATTTTATTGATGATATCCTTTGATTCACGAACACTTTTAATTTTTATGAAGCCAACTTCATCTATTTTTTCTTCTGTTGCCTATACTTCAGATGTCATATCCATGAGGTTGTTGCCAAATCCAGTCTTATGAAGATTTTTACTCAGTGTTTTATTCCAAGAATTTTACAGTTTTAACTCTTTTATGTCTTTGATCCACTTGAGTTAATTTTTGTATATAATGTTAGGTAAGGTTCCAACTTTATTTCTTTTGCACAGGGATATCCAGTTTCCCAGCACCAGTTGTAGAAAAAAATTGTCCTTTCCCCCTTGAATGGTCTTGGCACCTTGGTCAAAAATCAACTGATCATATATTTGAGGATTTATTTCTGTGCTTTCTGTTCTAGTCCATTGGTATAGATGTCTGTCCTGTCAGCACCTGCTGTTATAAATAATGTAGCTTTGTAATAAGTTTCAAAGTCAGGAAGTGTGAATCCTCCAGCTTTGTTTTTAGTTTTCTGTATTATTTTGGCTATTCCTGAATAGCCAGTGCAATTCCATATGAATTTTAGGACTTTTTTTTTCTATCTTTGCCAAAAATGCCATTGGGATTTTGATAGGGGTCACATTAAACCTGTTGATTGCTTTGGGTAGTATTGATATCTTAGCAATGTTACATCTTCCAGTCCATGAACATGGGATGTCTTTCTATGTATTTAGGTTTTCTTTAATTTCTGCAGCAGTGTTTTGCAGTCTTCAGTGTACAAGTCTTTCACCTCTTTAGATAGATATATTAGATATATTCCTATTTAATTTTTCTGGTTGCTCTTATAAGTTAATTTGCTTTTCTAGTTTCTTTTTCAGATTATTCATTGCTGGTGTATAGAAACAGATGATTTTTGTGTGTTGATCTTGTACTCTGCAACTATGCTGAATTTATTAGTTCTAATAGTTTATTGTGGGTTTCTTGGAGTTTTCTATATATGGGATCATGTCATCTGTGAATAAGAGATAGTTTCACTTCTTCTTTTCCAAATTGGGTACCTTTTATTTCTTTTTCTTGTTTAATTGCTCTGATTAGGATTTCTAGTACTATGTTGAACAGCTGCTGTGAAAGCAGGCATCCTTCTCTTGTTCTTGATCACAAGGGGAACACATTCAGTCTTACTCTGTTGAATGTGTTAGCTGAGGGTTTCTCACAAACACCCTTTACTATGTTGAGGAATTTCCTCTCCATCCCCAGATTTTCTGAGAGCTTTTATCATGAAAGGGTGTTTGGATTTAGTCAGATCTCTTTGCTCCATCAATTGAGATGATCAATCATGTGTTTTTTCCCCTCTGTTCTATTAATATGATGTATTACATTGATTTGTTTTCTTATGTTGAACCACTCTTGTATTCCTAGGATAAGTCCCACTCATTCATGGTGTATAATCCTTTTAATATCCTGTTGAATTTGATTTGCTAGTATTTTGTGGAGGACTGTAGCATCTAAATTTATATATGATATTGGCCTGTAATTTTCTTGTGAAGATTTTATCTGGATTTGATATTGGAGAAATGCTGGCCTCTCCGAATGAATTGGAAGTGTTCTGTCTGCCTCATTTTTTTTTGAAAATTAATGAGTGTTAATCCTTTTAAGTTTGGTAAAGGTCCAGTGAAGCCAACTCTTCCAGTGTATTTCTTTGTCAGGAGATTTTTGACTACAGATTCAATCTCTTTACCTATTATATGCCTGCTGAGATGTTTCTATTTCTTTTTGAGTCAGTTTAGGTAATTTATGTATTTCAAAGAATTTGTCCATTTCTTCTAGGTTTTCTAATTTATTGGCACACAGTTGTTCATAGCATTCTCTTATAATCTTTTTTTTAAATCTATGTTTAAGGTCCCACTTTGATTTCTAACTTTAGTTATTCTTTCTCTCTTTTTTGGTCTAGCAAATGGGTTCTCAAGTTTGTCAATCTTTTCAAAGTTAACCAACTTTTGGATTCCTTGATTTTCCTTATTTTCTATTCTCTGTTTTGTTTATCTTCTTTCTTATCTTTATTATTTCCTTCTGCTAGTTTTGGATTTAGTTTGCTCTTGTTCTAGTTCCCTAAGGTATAAAATTATGTTACTTATTTGAGATCTTTCTTCTTTTTTAATATAGGGGTTTACATCTATAAAGGTTCTTCTTAGCACTGCTTTCACTTCATCATATAAGTTTTGGTATGTTGTTTTTTCAATTTGATTTGTGTCTAAATATTTTCTGATTTATCTTGTGACTTCTGTTTTGAGTTAGTGGCTGTTTAAGAGTGTGTTGGTAAATTTCCATTTATTTTTCGGTTTGCCTTCTGTTACTGGTTTCCAGCTTCATTACACTGTTGTTAAGATAATTTACTGTATATGATATGTATCTTTTAAAATCTATTGAGACTTATTTTGTGGCCCAACACATGGTCTGGAGAATGTTCATGTGTGCTTGAGAAGAAGCAGCATCAGACTTGGTTGCCTGGCAGGCAGAGGGAGACTCTCCCAGCTTTCTTGGCTCTGTTTCAGCCCAACCAGGGATGTGCCTGCAGGAGCCAGCCGACAAGAGCTCCTTCCTCCCTGTGGGTGTCCAAGCCCATTGCTGTGTGTCTGGCCTAGGCAGAGCCACACATCAGCCTGCCCAGCCCATTAACCCTGCAGCCCCGCCACTGCTGCAGGGCAAGCAGAGGGTGGCCCTGCCCACAGTGATTCCAGCAGACTTCTGTGCTGACCACAAAGGTAATGGCTGAAGCAAACTGCCAGCACAGACTCTGACCACCACAGATTACAGAAGGAAAGGTGGCCCCACCCACTGCACACCAACAGCTGGGGGTCCTGCAAAGTAGACCTAGGTGCTGGAGAGTAAAGAGTCTTGAGCTTCTGGACCCCTTACAATGCCTCCTTTATAAAGATACTACTCTATAGTCCAGAAAGCATAGCAGAGCCATCTAATACAAAGGAAGAAACACAGAAACCTTGACAAAATGAGCCAGAGGAATATGTTCCAAGCAAAACTACAGGACAGGGCACCAGCAAGAGGGTTAAATGAAAAGAGATCACCAATCTTCTTGATAAATATTTCAAAATAAAAGTCATAAACATGCTCACTGATTTACAAAAAAGTATTCAAGATCTCAGGGAGAACTTCAACAAAGAGATAGAAGACCTGAAAGCCACTTAGAGCTGAAAAATACAGTATCTGAAATGAAACATACAATGCAGGGATTTAAGAATAGATTACTGCAGGTAGAGGAGACAGTGAATGAAATGGAAATTAGAGAACAGAAACAACAAAGCTGAGGCACAGAGATAAAAAAGGATCTCTAGGAATAAAATAATGATAAGAGAGCTATGTGACCAATTCAAATGAAACTATTTGCATAATACGGGTACCAGAAGGAGAAGGAGAGAGAGACAAAGGGATAGAAAGTCTCTTTGAGGAAATAATTGTTGAAAACTTCCCCAAGCCGGGGAAGGAAATAGATGCTCAGGTCATGGAAGTGCACAGAGCCCGTAACAAAAGGAACCCCAGGAAGACAACACCAAGACAGATAATAATTAAAATGGCAGAGATCAAGGATAAGGAGAGAGTATTGAAAGCAGCCAGAGAGAGAAAAAAGATTACTTATAAAGGAACCCCCATCATGCTATCAGCAGACTTCTCAGCAGAAACTCTACAGGCCAGAAGGGAGTGGCATGAAATATTTAATGTACCGAAACAGAAAGACCTCCAACCAAGAATCCTCTACCCAGCAAGATTATCATTTAAATTTGAAGCTGGTATTAAACAATTTCTAGATAAAGTAAAGTTGAAAGGATTCATCATCACTAAGCCAGCCTTACAGGATATGTTAAAGGGACTGCTATAGATGGAAATGTAACTAAGGCTAAATAGCTTTCACCTGTGAAAATAAATCCACAGTAAAGGTAGTAGACCAATTAATTACCAAGAAAATATGAAATTAAAACAAAAGCAAAATCAACTATACACAAAATCAGTCAAGGGATACACAAAAAGTGCAGATTATGATATCTAATATAAAAATGTGGAGGAGGAAGAAGAAAAAGTACCATTAGATTGTGTTTCAAATAGAGTAATCAGCAATTTAAGGTAGACTGTGATATACTAAGGAAGCTATCCTTGAACCTTTGGTAACCACAAAACTAAAGCCTGCAATAGATAAACAGAAAAAAATTAAGAAAAAGAGAAATTTAATCCAATCACAACACTAAAGAAAACCATCAAATAACAAGGGAAGATTATAAGAGAGGAAGAAAGAAACAGAGAGGAGCTATAAAAATAGCCAGAAAACAATTAATAAAATGGCAGTATGTACATATCTAACAATAATCACTGTAAATGTAAGTGGACTAAATGCACCAATCAAAAGACATAGAGTGGCAGAATGGATAAACAATACCCATCTATATGCTGCCTATAAGAGACTCACTTCAGACCTAAAGACATACACAGACTAAAAGTGAAGGGATGGAAAAAGATAATTCATGTGAATATATATTGTGCTGTTGTTGGGTGCAGTGTACTATATATATTTATTAGGTCTGATCAGTTTATGCTGTTGTTCTGGTCATCTATTTGCTGGATCTTTGGTTGGTCTATCCATTATTGAAAGTAGAGTATTGAAATGTCAAAATATTATTATAGAACTGTATATTTCTCCCTTCAGCTCTGTTGCTTTTCGTTTCATGTATTTTGAGGGTCTGTCATTAGCATATGTGTTTAAAATTGTTATGCCTTCTTTCTGTAATGAGTGCCTTATATTATTATATATGTCCTTTGTCTCTTGTAACCTTTTTGAATTTAAAGCCTATTTTTGTCTGATACTAGTATAGCCACCCTAGCTCTCTTTTGGCTATTGTCCCCCTTTTCCTGCATTACTGATTTCTTTTGTATTTAGTTGATTTTTTTGTAAAGAAATGCTTTGATTCTCTTCTCATTTCCTTTCGTGTATATTATATAGCTATTTTCTTGGTGGTCACGATGGGGATCATATTGAATATCCTAAAGCTACAACAATATAATATGAATTTATATAGACTTACCTTTAATAGCATACAAAATCTCTACTCCTGTCCTCTCTGATTTCTGCTGTTCATTTCATAGATCACATCTTTATACATTGCTTGTCCAATAACATAGATTATAATATATAACATAGTTATAACTATATAACATAAAAACTATATAACATAGTTTTTAAATGCATTTGTCTTTTAATTTATGTAGAAAACAAAAAGTGTAGTTACAAACCAAAATTACAATACTAGTAGCTTTTATAGTTGCTCATGTATTTACTTTACTGGATATCTTTATTCATATGGCTTTCAGTTATACTGTCTAGTTTCCTTTCATGTTAAACCTTTACCATTTCTCGCTGGATTGGTCTAGTGGTAACAAACTGTCAGCTTTTTATCTGGGAATCTTAATTTCTCCCTCATTTGTGAAGGATAGTTTTGCCAGATATAGATTTTTTGGCTGACAGTTTTTTCCTTTTAGCACTTTGAATATATCTGCCCACTGTCTTCTGGCCTCTGTTTCTGATAAGAAATCAGCTGATAATCTTTTTGAAGATCCCTGCTATGTGAGTGATTTCTTGCTGTTGTCAGGATTCCCTCTTTGCCTTTTCACAGTTTGATTATAATGTATCTCAGTGTGGGTCTCTTAGAATTTATCACACTTGGTGTTGAGCTTCTTGGATGTGCACATTTATGTCTCTCACTAAATTCAGGAAGTTTCCTGTAGTCACTTTTCCCGATATTATTTTACGCCTTTCTCTCTTCCCCTCAGATCCCCATATGCATTCTGGTCTGCTTGATGGCCCCACAGATCCCTTAGGCTCTGTTTACTCTTCTTTATTCTTTTTTTGTTCTCAGACTAGACTCATTAATTTCAGTTATCTTCTCCTCAGGTTCACTGAGTCTGTCTTCTACTTGCTCAAATCTGTTTTTGAGCCTTTCTAGTGTATTTTTCATTTCTGTTATTAGACTTTTGAAATCCATAATTTTTAATTTTTATTGATATTTTCATTTTTAAAATACAACAGTTTCTTGCCTTTATCCCTGTTTTCCTTTAGCACTTTGAGCATCTTTAAGACAGTTGTTTTAAAGTCCTTTTCTAGTAAGCCCATTGTCTGGGCTTCCTCAGATATATTTTCTGGAGATCTGTTTGTATTTTTGAACACCAAAAAAGAAACAGATGCAACTCCTTTAAGTCTCCTGGAAGGCATTTTAGCCATCAGTGGTTAAAACTGCAACCTGCCTTGGGCCACATCTCAGAGATCTGAGCAGCAATCTGCTGTCAGGCCACAACCCTGATATTTGGAAGACAGGAGCCTTCTTGCTACCCTTGGCTCCCTCAAGCTGCACCAGAGACGTGGGTTGTCTTGCTCGCAGCTGCCTGCACAGGGGTTAGGGGCCGGGGAATGGATTGCCACCAGCAAGCTGATGGCTGAAATTGACCAAAATTATCTGTAACTTGCCAGCTGAGCATTCCCTGGAAGCTGAAAGCATTCAAATAGGCCTGAGTTCTAAAGTAGTCACTTCAGAGGGTTTCTGCCACTACAGTTGTCCAGGTGGAGAGAGATTTCTGTCACCTCTTACTCTGCCATCTTCTCTTATTTTGCATCTCCCCCACCCCCATCTTTTTTATCGCTGTTAAACTCACTTCTGCTGGGAAACCCTCTAAGTTACATTGCTCAGCCATTTATTTCTCTAGCATCTTACACTTCTTTATAGCATTCTTTACAGTTGGACAGTTTGTTTGCCCCACTAGACCATGTGCTTCAGGATGACAGGAATCCTGTCTGTCTGCTTTCTGCTGTGTCACCAGTCTGCTACTTATACACATAAATGGTGTATAAGAAATGTTTCATGAAGAAATGAGCTGAGTAACTTAACCTGAGAAGGATGGTACTTCTTAATGGGAACTATTTGTTGTAATGACAACTCCAGCATCCAGCATGAGGCAGTAGGAGGCAGTGTAGTTGACAGCGCCTGTGGTTATCTGCTACAGTGATCTACATTGTATGTGGCCCCTGCCTGTGGGATTCACAGTCTTGCTTTAACAGGCATTTCCATTCAGGAGAAAACTTGCCCAGGTCAGGTGTGAGCACTATGGGCAGGATCCCCCAGGCCATATTTCTTCAGAAGAGAGTTGCTGCAGCCCATGCCCTTGTTCGCCCAGTGGGCCACTCCCAGGACTCTGAAAAGCATGGACATGTGGCTCACATGCCTGTCACTCTGAAGGTGCCTTTGGTTTCTGTTGTATCTGACCAGGTGCAGACACACAAGCCCTACATGGTGACCTTCGACCTCACAGACTCTGGGTCCATAGTTGCAGCAACAGCTGAGATCCTGCGGTGCTTTGGCTGCGTGGATGTGCTCATCAACAATGCTGGGGTCAGCTACCGGGGTGCCATTGTGGACACCACCATGGAGGTGGACAAGAAAGTCATGGAGACAAACTACTTTGGCCCAGTTGCTCTCACAAAAGGTAACAGTCTTGGATTAAAAGGAAAAAGAAAGCTGGTATGTTGGCATTCCTTGGTCCCTTTTTAGCTAGATGTTGCCTGTACCTGTAGTCTACTTTATTTTGTGGTAGGTGTTGTCATCACAGTTTGTTCTTTCAAGGCTTCATTATGTTTTATCTGCTTTACAATCTTAAATCAGGATGTCCTCAGTTTGTTTGTATGGCATTGCGCCCATTTCCTGTTTGTGGTGGGAATATTTTTAGGTTTGGGGGAGAGGCTGTCTAGAACAGGGAACTAAGCTGACAATTTGCAGTTGTATTTCTTTGTCAGGAGATTTTTGACTACAGATTCAATCTCTTTACCTATTATATGCCTGCTGAGATGTTTCTATTTCTTTTTGAGTCAGTTTAGGTAATTTATGTATTTCAAAGAATTTGTCCATTTCTTCTAGGTTTTCTAATTTATTGGCACACAGTTGTTCATAGCATTCTCTTATAATCTTTTTTTTAAATCTATGTTTAAGGTCCCACTTTGATTTCTAACTTTAGTTATTCTTTCTCTCTTTTTTGGTCTAGCAAATGGGTTCTCAAGTTTGTCAATCTTTTCAAAGTTAACCAACTTTTGGATTCCTTGATTTTCCTTATTTTCTATTCTCTGTTTTGTTTATCTTCTTTCTTATCTTTATTATTTCCTTCTGCTAGTTTTGGATTTAGTTTGCTCTTGTTCTAGTTCCCTAAGGTATAAAATTATGTTACTTATTTGAGATCTTTCTTCTTTTTTAATATAGGGGTTTACATCTATAAAGGTTCTTCTTAGCACTGCTTTCACTTCATCATATAAGTTTTGGTATGTTGTTTTTTCAATTTGATTTGTGTCTAAATATTTTCTGATTTATCTTGTGACTTCTGTTTTGAGTTAGTGGCTGTTTAAGAGTGTGTTGGTAAATTTCCATTTATTTTTCGGTTTGCCTTCTGTTACTGGTTTCCAGCTTCATTACACTGTTGTTAAGATAATTTACTGTATATGATATGTATCTTTTAAAATCTATTGAGACTTATTTTGTGGCCCAACACATGGTCTGGAGAATGTTCATGTGTGCTTGAGAAGAAGCAGCATCAGACTTGGTTGCCTGGCAGGCAGAGGGAGACTCTCCCAGCTTTCTTGGCTCTGTTTCAGCCCAACCAGGGATGTGCCTGCAGGAGCCAGCCGACAAGAGCTCCTTCCTCCCTGTGGGTGTCCAAGCCCATTGCTGTGTGTCTGGCCTAGGCAGAGCCACACATCAGCCTGCCCAGCCCATTAACCCTGCAGCCCCGCCACTGCTGCAGGGCAAGCAGAGGGTGGCCCTGCCCACAGTGATTCCAGCAGACTTCTGTGCTGACCACAAAGGTAATGGCTGAAGCAAACTGCCAGCACAGACTCTGACCACCACAGATTACAGAAGGAAAGGTGGCCCCACCCACTGCACACCAACAGCTGGGGGTCCTGCAAAGTAGACCTAGGTGCTGGAGAGTAAAGAGTCTTGAGCTTCTGGACCCCTTACAATGCCTCCTTTATAAAGATACTACTCTATAGTCCAGAAAGCATAGCAGAGCCATCTAATACAAAGGAAGAAACACAGAAACCTTGACAAAATGAGCCAGAGGAATATGTTCCAAGCAAAACTACAGGACAGGGCACCAGCAAGAGGGTTAAATGAAAAGAGATCACCAATCTTCTTGATAAATATTTCAAAATAAAAGTCATAAACATGCTCACTGATTTACAAAAAAGTATTCAAGATCTCAGGGAGAACTTCAACAAAGAGATAGAAGACCTGAAAGCCACTTAGAGCTGAAAAATACAGTATCTGAAATGAAACATACAATGCAGGGATTTAAGAATAGATTACTGCAGGTAGAGGAGACAGTGAATGAAATGGAAATTAGAGAACAGAAACAACAAAGCTGAGGCACAGAGATAAAAAAGGATCTCTAGGAATAAAATAATGATAAGAGAGCTATGTGACCAATTCAAATGAAACTATTTGCATAATACGGGTACCAGAAGGAGAAGGAGAGAGAGACAAAGGGATAGAAAGTCTCTTTGAGGAAATAATTGTTGAAAACTTCCCCAAGCCGGGGAAGGAAATAGATGCTCAGGTCATGGAAGTGCACAGAGCCCGTAACAAAAGGAACCCCAGGAAGACAACACCAAGACAGATAATAATTAAAATGGCAGAGATCAAGGATAAGGAGAGAGTATTGAAAGCAGCCAGAGAGAGAAAAAAGATTACTTATAAAGGAACCCCCATCATGCTATCAGCAGACTTCTCAGCAGAAACTCTACAGGCCAGAAGGGAGTGGCATGAAATATTTAATGTACCGAAACAGAAAGACCTCCAACCAAGAATCCTCTACCCAGCAAGATTATCATTTAAATTTGAAGCTGGTATTAAACAATTTCTAGATAAAGTAAAGTTGAAAGGATTCATCATCACTAAGCCAGCCTTACAGGATATGTTAAAGGGACTGCTATAGATGGAAATGTAACTAAGGCTAAATAGCTTTCACCTGTGAAAATAAATCCACAGTAAAGGTAGTAGACCAATTAATTACCAAGAAAATATGAAATTAAAACAAAAGCAAAATCAACTATACACAAAATCAGTCAAGGGATACACAAAAAGTGCAGATTATGATATCTAATATAAAAATGTGGAGGAGGAAGAAGAAAAAGTACCATTAGATTGTGTTTCAAATAGAGTAATCAGCAATTTAAGGTAGACTGTGATATACTAAGGAAGCTATCCTTGAACCTTTGGTAACCACAAAACTAAAGCCTGCAATAGATAAACAGAAAAAAATTAAGAAAAAGAGAAATTTAATCCAATCACAACACTAAAGAAAACCATCAAATAACAAGGGAAGATTATAAGAGAGGAAGAAAGAAACAGAGAGGAGCTATAAAAATAGCCAGAAAACAATTAATAAAATGGCAGTATGTACATATCTAACAATAATCACTGTAAATGTAAGTGGACTAAATGCACCAATCAAAAGACATAGAGTGGCAGAATGGATAAACAATACCCATCTATATGCTGCCTATAAGAGACTCACTTCAGACCTAAAGACATACACAGACTAAAAGTGAAGGGATGGAAAAAGATAATTCATGTGAATATATATTGTGCTGTTGTTGGGTGCAGTGTACTATATATATTTATTAGGTCTGATCAGTTTATGCTGTTGTTCTGGTCATCTATTTGCTGGATCTTTGGTTGGTCTATCCATTATTGAAAGTAGAGTATTGAAATGTCAAAATATTATTATAGAACTGTATATTTCTCCCTTCAGCTCTGTTGCTTTTCGTTTCATGTATTTTGAGGGTCTGTCATTAGCATATGTGTTTAAAATTGTTATGCCTTCTTTCTGTAATGAGTGCCTTATATTATTATATATGTCCTTTGTCTCTTGTAACCTTTTTGAATTTAAAGCCTATTTTTGTCTGATACTAGTATAGCCACCCTAGCTCTCTTTTGGCTATTGTCCCCCTTTTCCTGCATTACTGATTTCTTTTGTATTTAGTTGATTTTTTTGTAAAGAAATGCTTTGATTCTCTTCTCATTTCCTTTCGTGTATATTATATAGCTATTTTCTTGGTGGTCACGATGGGGATCATATTGAATATCCTAAAGCTACAACAATATAATATGAATTTATATAGACTTACCTTTAATAGCATACAAAATCTCTACTCCTGTCCTCTCTGATTTCTGCTGTTCATTTCATAGATCACATCTTTATACATTGCTTGTCCAATAACATAGATTATAATATATAACATAGTTATAACTATATAACATAAAAACTATATAACATAGTTTTTAAATGCATTTGTCTTTTAATTTATGTAGAAAACAAAAAGTGTAGTTACAAACCAAAATTACAATACTAGTAGCTTTTATAGTTGCTCATGTATTTACTTTACTGGATATCTTTATTCATATGGCTTTCAGTTATACTGTCTAGTTTCCTTTCATGTTAAACCTTTACCATTTCTCGCTGGATTGGTCTAGTGGTAACAAACTGTCAGCTTTTTATCTGGGAATCTTAATTTCTCCCTCATTTGTGAAGGATAGTTTTGCCAGATATAGATTTTTTGGCTGACAGTTTTTTCCTTTTAGCACTTTGAATATATCTGCCCACTGTCTTCTGGCCTCTGTTTCTGATAAGAAATCAGCTGATAATCTTTTTGAAGATCCCTGCTATGTGAGTGATTTCTTGCTGTTGTCAGGATTCCCTCTTTGCCTTTTCACAGTTTGATTATAATGTATCTCAGTGTGGGTCTCTTAGAATTTATCACACTTGGTGTTGAGCTTCTTGGATGTGCACATTTATGTCTCTCACTAAATTCAGGAAGTTTCCTGTAGTCACTTTTCCCGATATTATTTTACGCCTTTCTCTCTTCCCCTCAGATCCCCATATGCATTCTGGTCTGCTTGATGGCCCCACAGATCCCTTAGGCTCTGTTTACTCTTCTTTATTCTTTTTTTGTTCTCAGACTAGACTCATTAATTTCAGTTATCTTCTCCTCAGGTTCACTGAGTCTGTCTTCTACTTGCTCAAATCTGTTTTTGAGCCTTTCTAGTGTATTTTTCATTTCTGTTATTAGACTTTTGAAATCCATAATTTTTAATTTTTATTGATATTTTCATTTTTAAAATACAACAGTTTCTTGCCTTTATCCCTGTTTTCCTTTAGCACTTTGAGCATCTTTAAGACAGTTGTTTTAAAGTCCTTTTCTAGTAAGCCCATTGTCTGGGCTTCCTCAGATATATTTTCTGGAGATCTGTTTGTATTTTTGAACACCAAAAAAGAAACAGATGCAACTCCTTTAAGTCTCCTGGAAGGCATTTTAGCCATCAGTGGTTAAAACTGCAACCTGCCTTGGGCCACATCTCAGAGATCTGAGCAGCAATCTGCTGTCAGGCCACAACCCTGATATTTGGAAGACAGGAGCCTTCTTGCTACCCTTGGCTCCCTCAAGCTGCACCAGAGACGTGGGTTGTCTTGCTCGCAGCTGCCTGCACAGGGGTTAGGGGCCGGGGAATGGATTGCCACCAGCAAGCTGATGGCTGAAATTGACCAAAATTATCTGTAACTTGCCAGCTGAGCATTCCCTGGAAGCTGAAAGCATTCAAATAGGCCTGAGTTCTAAAGTAGTCACTTCAGAGGGTTTCTGCCACTACAGTTGTCCAGGTGGAGAGAGATTTCTGTCACCTCTTACTCTGCCATCTTCTCTTATTTTGCATCTCCCCCACCCCCATCTTTTTTATCGCTGTTAAACTCACTTCTGCTGGGAAACCCTCTAAGTTACATTGCTCAGCCATTTATTTCTCTAGCATCTTACACTTCTTTATAGCATTCTTTACAGTTGGACAGTTTGTTTGCCCCACTAGACCATGTGCTTCAGGATGACAGGAATCCTGTCTGTCTGCTTTCTGCTGTGTCACCAGTCTGCTACTTATACACATAAATGGTGTATAAGAAATGTTTCATGAAGAAATGAGCTGAGTAACTTAACCTGAGAAGGATGGTACTTCTTAATGGGAACTATTTGTTGTAATGACAACTCCAGCATCCAGCATGAGGCAGTAGGAGGCAGTGTAGTTGACAGCGCCTGTGGTTATCTGCTACAGTGATCTACATTGTATGTGGCCCCTGCCTGTGGGATTCACAGTCTTGCTTTAACAGGCATTTCCATTCAGGAGAAAACTTGCCCAGGTCAGGTGTGAGCACTATGGGCAGGATCCCCCAGGCCATATTTCTTCAGAAGAGAGTTGCTGCAGCCCATGCCCTTGTTCGCCCAGTGGGCCACTCCCAGGACTCTGAAAAGCATGGACATGTGGCTCACATGCCTGTCACTCTGAAGGTGCCTTTGGTTTCTGTTGTATCTGACCAGGTGCAGACACACAAGCCCTACATGGTGACCTTCGACCTCACAGACTCTGGGTCCATAGTTGCAGCAACAGCTGAGATCCTGCGGTGCTTTGGCTGCGTGGATGTGCTCATCAACAATGCTGGGGTCAGCTACCGGGGTGCCATTGTGGACACCACCATGGAGGTGGACAAGAAAGTCATGGAGACAAACTACTTTGGCCCAGTTGCTCTCACAAAAGGTAACAGTCTTGGATTAAAAGGAAAAAGAAAGCTGGTATGTTGGCATTCCTTGGTCCCTTTTTAGCTAGATGTTGCCTGTACCTGTAGTCTACTTTATTTTGTGGTAGGTGTTGTCATCACAGTTTGTTCTTTCAAGGCTTCATTATGTTTTATCTGCTTTACAATCTTAAATCAGGATGTCCTCAGTTTGTTTGTATGGCATTGCGCCCATTTCCTGTTTGTGGTGGGAATATTTTTAGGTTTGGGGGAGAGGCTGTCTAGAACAGGGAACTAAGCTGACAATTTGCAGTGTTTAGGCTTCTGCCTCCCTCCTGCTGGCAGTCTGCCAGGCACGGAGTCCCAAGAGTTCCTCCCCAGAGGTGCTTTCCCTGTTCACCTCCCTTGCCCCAAATGAACATAGTAGGCGAGTTCTCCTCTTTCACTGTTCAGGGCAGTGACTAGAAGAAAAGCCCTTCTCAAGCCTTTGCTTCTTTCCTTAGCTCTCCTGCCCTCCATGATCAAAAGGCGGCAAGGCCACATTGTAGCCATCAGCAGCATCCAGGGCAAGATCAGCATTCCTTTCCGGTCAGCATGTGAGTACTTCCCTCTCCCTCCCCCAAAGGTAGTTCTTCATTGATTTGTCTGGATTATAAAAACAACACATTTATTATCCAGAATTCACACATTCGAGAAATCCTCAACATAGAACGTGAAGGAGCTTCATGAGAGTATGAGCTAGAATGCCTGGTTTCAAATCCCAGCTCTGCTTCTGTTCCCAAATGTGATCTGTGCAAGTGTCGTCAGTGCTCTGTACCCCATCCTTATCTGCAAAGTGGAGATGGGGCAGTCCCAGCCTGGGAGCCGCTGGGGAGACTGAGTTAATCTGCATGCTGTGAGTGAAGAACCTGGAGCAGCACCTGGCAGAAGTTCATGTCAGCCACTGTTAGATTATTACCAGTTCTTATGGTCATCCCTCAGGCGCCACCACCTCATCACTTTGCAGTATATGTTTCAAACTTTTTTCCACACGCAGGCAAACATGCATAAATGGGGTCACCTTTTATGTACTGTTTTGTGGCTCGCTTATCCCACTTGTAGTACCTCTCTACATCAGCATATGTGGACTCACCTAGCCCTTCTAAGTGGGTGTACAGTAATTCAGTGAGTGGGTATGACCTGATTTTGTTTAGCCATTTTACTGGACATATGAGGATTTTTGCCCTTTCTGACTATTAGCAATGATGGCTACATAGACCATCCTTAAGTACCTATCTGGGCACTCATGGGAAGGTTTCAGTAAGATAAATGCCAACAGGTGGAAATACTAGGTGGGACCAAAAAAAGTTAAAACTGCTAAATTGGCTTCCAAGTCACATTCTTACCTCTGTGTATGAGAGTGACTACGCCAGGATTTTGATATTTCATTTCATTCATCTGTCTATCATCATGTTGCACCAGCAAACAGGATCTAGTTTTGCTTTGTTAAAAGATTTTGGAAGTGATTTCATAAACTGCCCTGGTAACTCCTTTCTTTACTCCACCCTCCAAAGGATATACTGACCTTCAGAGCCTCAGCTGTCCCCACCACCTCCTGGTGCTGGGGGCTTGTCAGTGAGGGAAGTGAAGCAGAGCTGTTCTGGTGCTTTGAAAGGACAGTAGCAGATGTCCTGTTGGATGATATGGTGTAGCAACTGTGTGAACTGGAAATGCAAGAAAAATGTTCTCTCTCAAGAGAGAGCCTCTCCTCTGCCATCTGGTTCCAGTGGTCTGTTCTTGGGCAGGCCTTAACAATCGTTCATGCTGCACAAAGCTGTTTAAAGGTGAAACGAGACACTGGAGATGAAAAGTAGATTGTGAAGGGCTGAATCCATGTTTCTAGGGTGTTTGCCAGCATTTGGTTCCAACCCCAGTAGCCCAGGATGCGACTGAAGGCTGCTCAAATAGTTCAGGGATAAATACGTGTGTGATCACAAATAAAGCAAGTGAGGTGAAATGGTGATAGTAGATAAAATCAGGGTAAAGGGTATACAGTGTTCTTTGTACTAATTATTTCCAAACTTTGCTTTGATTTAATCTCACTGAATTTGTTCTCCACTTGGCTTGTGACTGCAGTAAGTCACACATGATTGGTCTGGGCACTTTGTAACAACCAGCCTGATGTGCCGAGCCTCCTGGGCATGTGGGTTAACCCGCAAGCAGGGGCCTCCTCACCTGTACCTGGGAGAGCGGCTATCTCCCTCACACTGCTGTCCAGAGAACCAAGTGGGAGTGGTCAGGAGGCCTGACTGGCATGTGCCTCATAGGCTGAGTACTTCTGACAACTGTGGTGATGATCTAGGTCAGCACAGCATAGCTGAAGCCCTACAGCCTGGAAGTGCTGGGATACTAGTGGTCAGGGTGCAGCCTTCTATTCTGGAGACCTCCAGAATGACTCCCCTTCTCAATCCTTGGGCCCCTGCACCCCTGGAATCACGGCTGACAGGAGCAGTTTTCTCCGCCTAGCCTACCCACAAACTACTTGTCCAGCCCCAAACCAAAGGCACAGGCCCCAGAAAGGCCTGCAGGAAGTGTAGGCACTGCCGACTGTCTTGTGTGAATTGCTGCTATACCTTCTTGCTCTTCTTTCTTGTTTTTGTGGTTGATAGATGCCCCTAACTAAGGCTAAATGTTTAGAACTTTGAATGGGAGGAAACCGATTTTCAGTGCAGATGCCATGTCATTGTAGGGTCACCATGCCCCTGTTCAGACCACCTTCCACTGTGGGGCGGGGCCATTGCTGAAGAACAGAGGTGGCTCTGTTTCTTGCAGGGGAAGCAACTCAATAGCTATTCCAGATGAAATCCACTTCATGGAAGTTTGTCCAACAAAATACACAAGAAGGCCAGGCATGGGTTTTAAACATACATACTTCCATGCATGCAAGGATGCTTGCATAGTGTCAGGAACAAAATCTGGAAGCAACCTGTGATGGTCCATTGATGGGGCCAGTTCTGTGGGCTGTGATCCATAAGGAGCAAGGCGGGCCTGCATGGTGAGAAAAGCTACTAAAATACAACTAAGTGTAAAACCACATGTACACACATAGGCTATATAAGAAAGGAATCCTGAGAAACCATTAGCACCAGTTACCTTTGGAGGGTGGAACTTTTAGGCAGAAGGAGGGCTCTCCCTTTTTTACTTTATGTACTATTTGAATTTTTTATCCACTAGGCATTAAGCTGTTTATTTTTTTAACTTTTAATGTGGAATAATTTTGGACTTAAAGACAAGCGGCAGGAACAGTACAAGGAACCTCGCACCCTTCATGTAGATTTTCCAGTTAGCGTTTTACTGTGTTTGCTTTTATCATATTCTGTGTGCACATACACATGTACATAAAATTTATTATTTTTTTTTCTCCTGAACCATTTGAAAGGAAGTTGGAGCTATGATGCTCCTTTATTTCCACATACTTCAGGGTGTTTCCTAAGAACAAGAATACAATGCACCAAATCAGGAATGAACATTGCTATAATACTCTTTTAAATTACAAAAATCAGTTTCTTAAAAGACAATGGTGGGAATGACTTGTCCCTGGCCAAGTCTCACACCAGCTCACCCACCTGACTCTCTGGCCACCAACCTTTGCAGATGCAGCCTCCAAGCATGCTACCCAAGCGTTCTTTGACTGCCTGCGTGCCGAGATGGAACAGTACGAGATCAAGGTGACTGTCATCAGCCCCAGCTACATTCAAACAAGCCTCTCTCTAAATGCCATCACTGCTGACGGGTCCAAATATGGAGGTAAGGCCCTGGATTCTCTTTTTTTCTGTGGAAAGCTGTGGTTTGGCCAGTGAGATGCTGCTCTGCCATGAGGATTCTTTGGTTATTTTCATTTGGAATATGATTTTTATAACTAAAAGGCTTAATGTTTGGGTGTTGATTACATATGCTGTTGAATAACCTTCATTTACTATGAACCAGTCTTAGCCTGAGCATCACCATCTCACAGGTGTCAGAACAGGGCCCCTGCAGGCCAGGATCATGAGGGTTAGAAAGGAAGTCCCTAAGCTGGGATGCCACCAGACTTCCAACTAACCTGTTCTCAATGAATTAAAGTGAACTCACTTCATGGAAAGTATGGGTTGCTAAAATGAAGAGGCTCCCCACCCACTGGGCTTGGAAAGGATTGATTTCTGGGTACTCTTAAGAGCCCAGTCATCCATAGTGAGGCTGGGCATGCCAGTCTCAGATCTCCAGCCACCGCTGATGAGCCGACCGGCCTGGCCCCAGTGTGCGGGCTCAGGCCAAGCACGTGCCAACTGGCTTTTGCCTGAGTCAGCTGACCCACGTGTGACACTGCCGGGAGCAAACTCTGCTTTCCTGTCTATAGTGGGGCCTGTCCATCCCTTGAACACTGTCCTGCCCTGTCCTGCCTCCTCTGATAGAATCTCTCGGGCTTGTGCTATGATGTTTAGCAGGGGTCTCCTGGTCCTACACCCCAATCCAACCAGACCTGAACCAAGACTGCCCATGCCCTGGGTGGCAGCTGCTTTCTACTCAGCAGGTCAACAGAGGCCATACAGAAGCACAGAAAGAATCAGGAGGCTCATACCTATTTATACCTAAAAGTCTTTTTAAAAAATTCCCTCTGTGGGACTTAAAACTAAACAGTAATCAGAAACCTCTTGTTCTTCTGTGTTAACAAAAACCCAGTGAGAACAGACACTGGTGAGGAAGCTTAGGCAGTGTGGACAACTTACGAGTGGTCTCAGATGGCCTTGCTAGTGGCCCCTCCTCTGTGCCAGGACCCTGCTTCTTTGGCAAGACCATCACTCTTCTAGGGAAGGCATGCCAGTCATTGTTAACCCAACACCTCCCAAGCCCTCCACAGCTGTCTCTACCACCTCTAGCAAACCAAGGATTTCTTCCTGAATCACTTCACTTTTGCTGCATTGAGCTCATAGTGCATATGGGGGTCTAGTTTCCTCCTATCCCCTGTCTGGCAGACCTCAAGCCAAGTGACCCAAGACAAAATCAGTGCTACAACATTTCTCAGTTGTTTGCTGTCCCAACAGGCAAAAATTCCCTGGTCCAGGAAGCTCCTCCTCAACTGTGGTGTGAAGGGCTCACTCAGGCCCCGTTCAGGCCAGCCCAGGCCTTTGCCGGCCACCAGCTCTCTGCACCGCCTAGGCCAGATCTGCCTGTGCCCTCGCCCCGCTCACACCTCCATTTCCTCCTGCACACACTCAGCAGCATGGTGTGTCCTCAGTCCCTTGGAGCACAGAGTGGTTGGGGTGGTGGTGCCTCCCGACAGACAGTGGGAAGAGCTTTATGGTGAGAAATCCAGCAAGCCAGCCACCAGCAGCCCACTCAGCTCAAGTCCACAAGAAGGACTTCTGCACGTTCATGTGTTTCTGTTCTGTTTTAGTTATGGACAAGACCACAGCCAAGGGCCGAAGCCCTGTGGAAGTGGCCCAAGATGTCCTGGCTGCTGTGGGGAGGAAGAAGAAAGATGTGATCCTGGCCGACTTGGCACCTTCCTTGGCTGTCTATCTGCGGACACTGGCTCCTGGGCTCTTCTTCAGCCTCATGGCCTCCCGGGCCAGGAAGGAGCGGAGACCTAAGAACTCCTAGTGCTTTGTTGAGCCCGGGTGGGAAAGCAGTGCCTGCCTGGGTGTGGCTGCTCTATAGGGAACAGTTGCTTTTGTGGGAGCTTTATGGTTATTTGTTGCATGGGTGGGAAGGATGGAAGACAGTCTTGCAGATCCCTGGCTAGGCCCCTGCTGGCAGAGAACAGGAACCACAAAAGGCAGCAACTTCCCAGGGGTGTGGGGTAACCCTTAAGGAGTTGATGTGGAACTGGGTTTACACTCTAAGGATATGAAATAAATGAATGAATGGTGGAAGTTGTAGTCTTCGGGGACTAGAAGAACCATGCCTCCTTTGGATTCCAGCCTCTGCCAGGAATCAGAAATCTTGAAATCATCTTGAAATCAGAAGACTCCTGACATCACCTGACCATTTTCACATTTGACTTATCTAAGACCACCTACCTAGTTGTTTGTCAGAGTCCACCTCCAGTACTCAAGGGAGAGGCTGCAGTTTAAGAAGTCATTATTCATATTCATTTCCAAGGTCCTATAGTATTTCATCCAACATAACAAATGGGCTGATATGTGATCGACCTTTTAATATGCCTCAGTACCTAAAAGGAACTACCCAGTGTTCCTGTTGACTCACCCACAGCTCTGTAGGACCAAGCAGCACTCCAAGCAGATGAACTTACTAAGGAGAAAGCAGCCACAATGGAGAGGAAAGTCCTGCACGACCCCACATACCCTCTAGGAAATAAGACCCAGAAACCTGGTCAGGCAGGAAGGGGTCTCAAGCAGCATCTGGTCCCCTGGTGGAAGCAGCCCATTCGTCAGCATAGCCAGAAATGCCTGCCTCCACCTTCCTGATTTACTAAAAATACATGGCTGAGGTTCACTGAGTAAATCAGCTGCATATCTGAAGTTCAGGATGAAACTTTTCCTGTTACTGAAGCTGAGAGTAGAAATTGTGGGTACATTGTATAGGCTTCCCCAGATTGGAATAAAAATCTGGCATATCAGACTATGTCCTAACTCTGGCTTTCTGTAGCTTGTATTTTAACAGCTATGTCTGAAATAAAAATGGCCAAAGCCAGCCTGTAATTAGGGTGTCTGAGGCCCTCAAGTGTCCTGGGAGCAGTAGGAGATGAGGATGGATGGATAGACCTGGGGACCCTCCCCAGCTCCCAGCAAGGCCTGAGGCGCCAGGAGCCTACGGTGGAAATGTGCACGCAGACATGGGGGCGGCTCTTCCTTTCCTACATGAGCCATCCCCCTTCCTCCTGACACAGAAGAGAGAGATGTCTGTAGCGCTCACTCAGAATTTGGAGTCACGGAAGAGTAGGACCTCTGAGAGCAGCGGCAGCCGCTCTAAAGCTGAGGCCAAGGTCGAATAAAATTTCCAAGCACATGGCAGGCCTTGGAAAAGGCAGTGGGAAAGGAAGCTGTCTCTCTTAATTGTTGGTTGGCACAAGAGGTGCTGCCCTTTCCTGTCCTAAATAAAATGGCCAGCAGCTGGAGACCGCTACGCACACCACCCTTAGAGCACAAGTCCAGTGGCCATGAAGCCCGGCCCGGAGGGCATCGACCATAGTGCCCAGTGCTAGGCTTTGGAGCCGCTGTGACGGTGGCCAGGAGCCCACTAGGCCCTGGCCCATAGGTGAGGGTTGGTGTGGGGCTGAGCAGACATGAAGGGTCTCAACCTAGATACGGCACCAGAGCCAAATCCAAATACCACTAGAGGGATTTCCCTCACATTCTAAGAAACTTAGCGTGCTTTCTAAAACTTACCTTTGAAGGTTTATATTCTACCACATAAATAAAATAATATAACACTAATAGAACCATTGATGTCTGGCTAGATGCGGCTGCCTGCCAAAGGCTGGCTGGGGCCGGCTGCTGCGGAGACAGGCGGAGTCAGAGGCAGGCACGGCCTCTCCAGCTAGGAAGAGGGCTGCGGGGCTAGGCAGTGCTGTGACGCCCAGGTGCACCTGAAGCCCCTGGGGTGCCTCTGGTGAATGCACCCCTCACTGGAGAGGGCAGTTGGGGTGAGGGTGGGGCTCGCAGAGCCTGCTGGGTGCCGACGTGGCGGGCAGTGCAGCTGTTCCTGAAGGCGAGCGTCCTGGGGAGGGGCCGGGCCTGGACCAGCTGGGTGCGTCCTGTCCCAGGGCCAGCGCCTGAACATGAACCTCCCCACCGCTGCTGTCGCTGCTCCTCTTCCCTGCCCACCAAGGTTTATTTTCTTGTCTCTCTCAATTCTGAGTAAGTGTGACAGCATAATTCTGAATTGGTTCTGCCTTCAAATAAAGTTCAAAGGCAGGTTTCAGTTTGCTCTTCAGGCCTCCTGAAGGTGTTTTGCTCGTCCAAGGGCAGAAAGGAGGCTCCCTTGTGCTTCATGTCGAAGTCTGAAAAATTAAATGCAATGAGCTTTCCCAGACAGCGACACTGCGCATCCGGGCGCTTGCTGAGTGGCCACAGCTCCCAGGGGGTTAAGATGCAGTAGTGAAACCGCCTGGGCACACTGCCCGGCTCCTGATAGGCACCAGGGAGCATCCCTTCCCTTACCAGAGGTGAACGTTTACAGCTGATCCACTGTAACAAGGAGACACATGCAGGTTCACCAGTCTGTTCAAGACTTTGCCTTTATAAAGGCTCTCTGCTCTTCTCTGCAGGGGGTGGGACAGGCAGTGCGAACGGGACTGTGAACTAGGCTTACTGCACCATCATGCACTCGGTGGCACAGACTCGTGTATGTGGATGCTGTGGAGGGCCCAGCTCACCTGACTTTTGCTTTCTCAGTTAGCAGTGACTTCATGCTGTTTCTTCAAGAGCACCTGGCATGTCACAGATGAGCACAACCTACTTGTCAGCACAGTCTAAGTGGGAAGGTGGCAGAAGGTAAGCCAGTGCCCACAGAGTGGAGGCCATCCAGACACAAAGTGAGGCCCTGCCGCTCTCCTTCCCAGTGAGCAGAGAAGCCTGGAAGACAAAACCCTGTCCTGCAGTCCACGCTCCACGTCTTCACCTCCTCCACATGGAACACATAGCCAGGTTGGCACTTCAGAACCTGGGCTGGTCTACCCAGCAAGGATCTCTCTGTTCAGCGCAGCACAGCCAGCCCGTTTGCAGTGGGCTTCTGCTTCTGGTGAGAGCTTCTGCCTGGCTGACCCTGGGGCCACTGCTTGTCTGCTTTCCACCTCCCCCTGAACTCTAGCTGTGGGCAGTGTGGGGCTCCCTTTCCAAAGCTGGGCTGTTTACTTCAAAAACACCCACCATTCCTATCCAGCAGGCTCAGAAGCCAGCAAATTCCTGAGGGGTCATGGGCACTGCACTGCAGTCAAGATGCAGTGTTTGCTTGGAGACAATTTACCATTGTCCCACGTGGCCAGACTGCCTTGTCAACAGTAGTGTGCACCCAACAGTCCACTGAGGGATGACTTCTTGGCCCTTTGGAATTAGTCTCAAACTCTTTGCTCTGGATCTCCAGAAAAAATGGCTCAGTGACCCCTTTGACGCCTTGCCTACCCATGCACCCCATCATTCCTCTGGTGTCAGATCTGATGGATCCTTTAAAACTAGGTGAAAAGCCAGTCAGTTGCCTTTTAAAGGGGGCCCTTCAGAGGGAAGAACCTGGGAGCTCTTCAGGGAGGACGGAGGGCAGGTTGTGGAAGTTTGCAGTCAAGGCAGGGGCCTGACCTCTGTGGAGGAGTAATTTTCTGTTTCTTGAAAGCCTCAGAGGGAATGTAAAGATGATGCAGGGTATGCCCTCTCGTGTGAGGGAGGTGCATGGCATTTGGCTTCTGCGGGCTGGGGCGATGGGGGTGGGGTGGGGCTTGGGGGCTGCTGCAGAGGCTGCTGAGAGGGCCTCTCTCAGCCTAGGGCAGTGGGGTGAGCTCAGGCCACGTCAGGAACAGCTTCAGTGCTTTAAAAACAGTTATGTGTCCTCCTAAATCAAAACCTCTGGATAGGAGGTACTGGGACCCAGTTGTCCACGTGGACGGTGTCCCTGAACAGCTTAGGGTGAGACACGAGGCTGTTCTGGGAGGGGTCTAGGCCTGCCCTGTTCTTGCTGTCGGTGGCGACCCTAGGCTGCAGCAAGGAGCAGGAGGCTCCCGTGGTACCCCTCCTTCCGTGTGCAAGCTGCCACCAACGGCATGGAGACGGAAGACACCAGAGCTGAAATTTCATAATTTTAATGGTCAACAGCTTTGGGTTGGCTCTGCGTGGTACAATTAAACAACAGACTTAAAAGATCCCTAAGCGCACTCACACCCCCTTGGTGGCATCACTGCCATCAACAGTTCACTGCCCGGGCAGACGTCCACAGCCTCAGGCCCCCAAGGGTGACAGGATCCACATCTTGGTGTAGTGAGCTGCAAAACCCTCAGTACACTGTGATCTGTGTTTCTTTTAAATAACAAACATTGAACCAAACGCCTCCCCAGGCTCTGCTGCCTCACAGCAGGACCATTCCGGTGGCACCCTGACCTCTGTTGTCTCGTGGACTGGCTGCTTGCTTCTCTCCTTGTGCTACTGCGATCATACGGCATAAAGCTCGTAGATCTTCTTTACACAGTACACCAGGGCGGCCAGGGCTATTGTGTTGTGCAGTCTCTTTCTGTGCAGGTCGTCCTTCCGGACCAGCACCACCGGCGTGGAGGACGTGAGCGTGTGCAGGGGCAGGCGTGACAGTTTGTAGGCGTCGTACTCCACCTGGTACTTGCAGCAAGGGTCAAACTGCCAGGAGATCCCGTACAGGGTGCAGCAGGCTAAGCTGAGCACACCTGCAGGCAGGGAGATGTAGTGGGAGTAATCTAAGGGCAGGGCCAGCGGGGTGAAGAGGCAGGCGGTGCCAGCCAGCACAGCGGTCTTGTGCAGGCAGTTGCCCACGGTGATCCAGCGGGCGGTCTCGTCGCCAATGCGGGTGGGCTCAATCACGATGTACTTGTACTGGGCTTCCAGGGCCTGCTCCAGCTCGTACTCAAACTGGTCTTGGGCATTCTCTCCATTGTAGATCTCGTGCACGATGTAACAGTCTGTGGCTGACAAGCTCACCCTTGTGGAGGGGCAGGAGAAAGGGGAGACAGTTAGGCTGAGGAGCACTTGCCACATTTCTTGGGGAGACACAGAGCAGAGGCCAGGGGAGGGAAGTCTGGGCCTTGGGCTCAGCAGAGCCCAAGCTCTGGAGGGCACCACCTCTCTCTTTTGTTACCTTCCTTAGAACCCAATATTATACATCATTAAAGAATTTTTTCCCCCAAGAATAAAATAGTGAATGTAAAGAGCACTCCAACCTCTAAGAGGATGACAGCTCATGTTATGTTCGGGGCCTGCAGACAGCCCAGCACAGTAGATGGACCTGTGAGCCAGCAAAGGAGCCCCAGGGGACCACGACGGCTTCAGCTCCGAATCACATTAACACAAACAGGGCAGAAGCCCAGGTCAGCAGGATGAAATCTGTTCTTGGTTAATCAGGGCAAACTGGGAGGAAGACTCTTCCTCGGAAACCAACAAACCCCTGGGACGGAGACTGCCAAACCCTTGGCCCTTCACGGCTCACAACTAGTCATCCCTGCCGCAGAACCGCAGTGCGCAGGGCAGCCTCCACCCTGGGCAACAGAACAAAACTTCTCCAGCCCTCACGGCAGGACAAGCTGTGCAAGGCCCAGGCCCCTTCCAGGCCTGCAGCCCAAGGAGCACCAGCCCTGAGATTCAATTAGGAAGACAGCCCTCAAGATAGCAGTGACTCAGTGTGCAAGCAACCTGTGAGGGGCCCCAGACATTCCTGCCCACTCTCACACTGTGGCTCAGGACTCTCCATCACCAGTGAACACCTCACTCACGTAAGAAACACTATAGACAAAGGCCTACTGTAAGTAGCTGAGCAGATCCTACTTTTCCTTGGGATATGACCCTGACCAGAAGATGAATCTGGAGCCTATGGAAGGCTTAGCTCTGCACTGAAGCCAGGCAGCAGGCTGGCACAACTTTGGCAGGGACCCATTTACGGCAGACTTAGGATTCACATTGAGGCGTCTCTGGTGCAAACTTCCCAACCAAAGCAGAATCTCCCTACACCCCTGACTGGCAACGTAAACACAGACCTGTAAACACCTTATCACTTTGATTTGGCTTATTTCAGCCTGCCCAGATCTTTCTGAACCTCTACACTGCACCCAGCATATACTGTTTCTCCTGGATTTGTATTATCTGTTCATCTGATAAGGCACCTTTATACTAGCCTCTGGGAGGGATGCTGCTAGACACAGCTCTTGAGGATGGATCAAGTTGCTTAACCCATGATACGGCCACCAGGCCATCTTTGGCCACATGCCTCAGTGAGCAGCACCCCCTGGTCCCCAGGCTGGTCAGACTGTCACAGGAGATGAGGCCCGGGGATCCCATCTGTCTCCTGGCAATCACCGCAGCCCCCTCCAAGTCTGTGCGTCCTAGCTGGGGCTCGGGACTGGTGTACTGGGCCAAACAAGGCGAGCATGGCCCTCCTGCCTGAGCTCTGGCTCCCGCGGGAAGTAGAGCCCTAAGTACTCAGACACAAGCCAGCAGCTGGGTGCCCACACCACGTGGCTGGCCAGGTTAAGTCCACGGGGTAGCTGGGCTCAGAGCTTCCTGGTCACTGATGGTGCACATTAGGGACCACGAAGGCTTTTAAATCAAAGCCTGAGAGCCTCTAAGTCCAGCATAAAGGCACTTCTAGCTCTCCAAAGATGAGAGCAATTGCATATTGAAGGTGGTAGAAATGGGACTGTCAGGGGCAAACCATGGGAAAGGGGCAGGCGGTCAGAGAGCCAGACGGAAACAAACTGCCAAGTGCTCTTTCCAGTTGTTACTCCCGGGCAGGGTTCATGGGGAGCTGCTTTTAGCAAAAAGCAAGCAAACCCAAGTGGCAGGGTTTCACTCCAGCTGGACAGACTGGCTAACATGTTCCTGCACTCACTAGAAATGAAACCTTTGGTTACCAGGCTGATGGTGCCCCCAGGTACGAAGCAGCACCCCAGGTGGAGCCACAGCTTGGACCAGGCAGAAGAAACTACCCCAAAAAAGACCCTGTAATTCAGTGCGCTCAGGGAGGCTAATTAAATCAAGGCCCCATTTAAGCTATGCCCTGGGAGGCAGTCATTCCCTGGGGGCCCGACAGAAAGGTGGCTGCTACAGAGTACCAGGAGACAGGGCTGCCTTTCCAGGATGTTAATGAGCTGTTTCTGTAAGACTCCATCAGACATTTACAAAATAGCCAGGTTTTCCCCTTGAAGGGGAAGGGGAGAGGCAGCTCACACTGGGATTACTCCCAGGTGGGTCTCAGCACTTTGGAAGCCACCTTGAGCACACAAGCAACACTAGGGGCTGGTCCCACTCTACATGGGTAAGTCACATGGGGAATGGAAGCACTGGTCACGGACTGACTGTCACAGCGGCCCAGAGATTTCCTTTGTGCTCTCAGGTTCATCAGGCATAGGTGGGGGAGGACAGGGAAAGGGAGGGGCCGGTCCTGTGCGCTCTGTGCTCTGGGGGAAGTGCTTCCAAGCCAGAGTGCTTCCTGCTATCAAAGCGAGGCCAGGGGACACCACCCTGCAGTCCACGTCTGAGGCGCACTATCTGGCCACCAATTAATTCCTCTCAAACACGCAAAGCAAAGCGTCAGGGTCAAGGTTAGGATTACAGAATGTTCTTGCCAAAACCCCAGGCACCTCAGTGCAGTGCCCTGTTCTGCCTGGCACACTGTGGCCTCCTGAGTAGGCCCATAATGCGCCTGCGACAGCCTGCTCTATCTCACAAACACATCAGTGGGCAGTCCCCACCCCGCTCCGTTGCCCTTACCTCCGCAAGCCGAGCTGGCACCATGGCCACCTCTGCCCAGCCCAGGATCGGGCTCCCTTGGGTCCCTTGGTGTGGGCTAGGGGGCCGAGGTGCTGTTTTGTCATTTGTTAACACGGATTAGGGGATGCGTCCATGGGTCCCATTAAGCCTGGCAGTGGGTGAGAGGCGGTACCCTTCAGAATCCCCTCATTGCTGATGTCAGCACACGAGCGACAGTGAGTAGACACGGCTGTCATGAAACCACAGGCGAGTGTGTGTGCACACAGGTAGGCTCACCTGACGAATGCAGCCAAGCCTGCGGAAGCAGCCCGCAGCTCCCTGGAGCCCATGGCTCACTGTGGGCAAGGCACCCCATCCTGTCTGTCCCCACAAACCAGCTCTCCGCAGTGTGAAGACAGGCATGAGCCGAGTGCAGCTTCCTGAGCACAGCAAACCAGGTGTGCCCAGAGGCCCACAGAGCCATGCTGCCTGAGGCACACCAATTCTGCTTTTACAGCCAAACCACTACACCCGGTTCAGGGAAGTGAGTCTTGGTCTCCACTCATCTGGAGTAGCAGATTCCCAGGATCCCACATGGTATACAAGGAAGGAAGACAGCAAGGTTCTACACACACACTCACCAGGAGCACCCCATTTGTGAGGGGCCACCCCACAGGCAGTAAGCACCCACATCTTGCACCTGGGCTGCCCCTGCAAATGTAGGATTTGAAGGCTGCCTGGGCCACCAGGTTCATTTGTGCATGGTTGACATGGACAGTTACTTCACAAACCCAGGAGAGAGCCATGTCTGCCATCCTCGGGCTACACAGGCACCCACCCACAATGGCGTGCTTTTGCTTCTGGGTCAAATGTAACCCCACTAAGGAAAGGATCCAGGAGGAGGTTGCCTTGAAGCACTTCAGAGAATCACCAGCCAACTCCCAACTTGAACTGGGCCACACAGCAGATCATAAAGAATAGCTACCTGGAATCTTCGGAACCCTGGGCTCCCTCAGGAACTCTATTTCTGCTTTTCATTGCAGATGTGAAATGACCAGGAGAGAGTAATAAAAAACATCTGTGTTAGAAGAGAGAGTGCTGACAATGGAAAGGCTTCCAAAAAAGTGAAAAAGGCAGTTCCAAACAGTGTTTATGTATGCTATCTTTAGTGTGTTCTTAAAAATGTATACACAGAACATTTCTGGATGGATATACAAAGACCTAAGAGATGACTGTCACTAGGGAGGGGAATGGAGCAGCTCCACAAAGAAAAGGGGGTCCCTTTCTACCAAATGACCTTTGACCCTTATGCATCTGGCATGCACTGTGGTCTTTAAGGGAGGTTGTTCCTCTGATCGCCTGCTGCCCGTGCTGAGATCGCTCTGAGCCGTAGGCCTCTGACCAGCCTGTGGAGCAGAGCATCCTCCTGAGGCTCTTGAACCTCCTCTCCTGCTATACCTTACACCAGAATTGGCCTGCCCTCTCCTTGTCTGAACTGCTCGGGAAGTACTCAGGAAAGAGTCATCAAAGAAATCCCCTGGGAACACAGGCTTTCTGGCAAGAAGGTGGCCACACAGAAGACATGACAGGACAAACCCCATTTCCCCTGGGATCTGAGAACCCTGTGTGTGTGCCCTACCCCCCTGTGGTCCCTGCACCTTCACAAAGCTGGTGTCAAAGGAATCTGGGATTACTAAGCACTCTCAAATGTGGGTTCCCCAGAGTCTGGAGACACCTCCCCAAGTCAGAGCTGCACAAGAATGCTCGGAGCAGCACTGTTTGGTAAGAGGAACAGATTACTAACAAAAGGAGAGAGAAAAAAATGGTGAAATCCTCCACTGGAGTGACAGCGAACAGTCTGGAGCTTATGCTTCATGGCTGAACACACACATCGAAGGCAGAGGGAAGAGCAAGCGTGTGCAGGTGGGCGCCTTGCGTCCATGATTCCAGGAACACAGAACTAAAGGAAGGGCCACTTAGGGATTTTTTTCAGTGCAGTAACTATGAGGGAAGGCAAGGAAATGCCAGACAGTTCAGGAACTGGGTAGCCTCTCATGGGCAGAGGGACACATGAGCCACAGTAATGCTAGTTTTCCACTGCTTAAACTGACCAGTGAACAGGTTTATTAATTTTTTAAAATTATGATAAAATACATGTAACACAGAATTTCCTGTTGTAACCATTTTTGAGTGTATATTTTGGGAGCATTGAGTACATTCACATTTTGTGTAATCATCTTC